AAAATGCGGGGGGGAGTACGGAGAGGAGGAACTGTTTGGTTTTATTGTGAAGGCCTTACGGCCGGTACCGCCGACCCTGATGGGGGACGATGACGACGAACGATGACGACGGCGACGACGATGACGACGACGAACGACGACGAAGACGACGACGATAACGACGATGACAACAAACGATGGCGACGGCGACGACGGTAGCGGCGACGACGATGACGACGACGAACGATGACGACGGCGACGACGATGACGACGACGACGATGACGACGACGAACGACGAACGACGACGACGATGACGACGACGAACGATGACGACGGCGACGACGATGACGACGACGACGACGACGATGACGACGACGAACGATGAACGACGACGACGATGACGACGGTGACGAACGACGACGACGACGACGACGATGACGACGACGAACGACGAACGACGACGACGATGACGACGGTTGACGAACGACGACGACGATGACGACGATGAGATTGACGCAGGCGACGATGGCGGCGACGGCAGCAACGACGATGACGTCGACGACGCTGGCATGGATCAGAGTCATCAGGGATTCCGTTTGAGGTCTCTTCGGAGCTCTCTCGGAGGCCTTCTGGTCTAGGTGTATGGGCCTCTTGGGAGCCGTATTGTGGGACTATTAGAAAGAGGGGAGAGGAATAGGTGGGGTGAGGAGATGAAGGCTGTTTGATTCTATTTGAAGGAAAACGGGAGGGCACGTGATATCCAGGATCCCTTGTTGTCTCCGGAGGCCTCCAGGAGTATCCAGAAGTCTCAAGGGAGCCATCCCTGAGAGCCTCCACACATAGATTTCTTCTGTGGGGGGGGGGGGGCCTGGGGGGCTCCACAAATGGATTTCTTATTTGGGAGGGGCCTGGGAGTCTCCACACATAGATTTCTTCTATGGTGAGGTACCCTGGAGGAGCTCCACAACTGGACTTCTTCTATGGGGGGGCCTCCACATATGTGTTTTTTCTATGGGAGGGGGGGGTGGGGAGAAAGAGTACCCCCCCCAACAAAAAAAATCAAAGATTTCACGATAAACTCAATCCCAACTGTGTTTTTACAGGGTTTGGTGCGAAAACCTTGAAAAACACTTGCGAAATGATGAGGTGCACGAAACCCTGTAAGAAACAAAGTTTCCTGGCCTCGAGGGTCACCAAACCCTGTAAAAATACAGTCGGAATTGAGTTTATCTTGAAATCTTTGATTTTTTTTTTGGGGGGGGAAACTCTTCCTCCCTGGGATGGGACCCCGTTCCCCCCTCCCATAGAGAAATTCATTTGTGGAGGCCCCCAGGCCGTTCCCCATAGAAGAAATCAATTGTGAAGGCCCTCAGGGGCCCTCCACAGAAGAAATCTGCGTCTTCTGGAGGCCTCCAGAGACGCTCAAATGTTCAATCGCGTCCGCTTCCTCCTTCCTCCCCCCCCCGACTGATCAGGGGGCGGGGGGGCTCTGAGATCAGGCGTTCTGTTTTGTTGAAGGTTTTTGGAAGGTTTTTGGAACGTGTTGGGCGGTTTCGCTAAATGCTGGAAGGTTTTAGGAAGGTTTTAGAAAGGTTTTTTGGAAGGTTGTTGGAAGGCTTTTGGGAAAACCTTCCTGAAACCTTTCTCGCTCCCCCCCCCCCAGGAAAACCTTCCAAACATGATGGACCCACGAACCCGGAAAGGGATAAAGACATGTGCAGCATGGTCACGTTTTCACGATACCCAACTGGGCGACATCTCACGAAACATCCCACGAGACACCCCGCGAAACATCCCACGAGACACCTCACGAAACATTCCACGAGACACCTCACGAAACATTCCACGAGACACCCCGTGAAACATTCCACGAGACACCCCACGAACAGGCAACCACTCAACCAGACACGCCACGAAACATTCCACGGGGGTGCGACTGGGTGTGGTCGTGCTGGGGTGTGGTCGTGCTGGGGTGTGGTCGTGCTGGGGAGTGGTCGTGCTGGGGTGTGGTCGTGCTGGGGGGTGGTCGTGCTGGGGGGTGGTCGTGCTGGGGGGGTGGTCGTGCTGGGGGGTGGTCGTGCTGGGGCGTGGTCGTGCTGGGGCGTGGTCGTGCTGGGGCGTGGTCGTGCTGGGGTGTGGTCGTGCTGTGGTGAGGTCGTGCTGGGGTGTGGTCGTGCTGGGGTGTGGTCTTGCTGGGGTAGGGTCGTGCTGGGGTCGGGTCGTGCTGGGGTGTGGTCGTGCTGGGGTATGGTCGTGCTGGGGTGGGGTCGTGCTGGGGTGGGGTCGTGCTGGGGTCTGGTCGTGCTGGGGTGTGGTCGTGCTGGGGTATGGTCGTGCTAGGGTGGGGTCGTGCATTTCGCTCGAGACATCCTGCCAAAATTCCAGGAAATCGTACAAAAACAAACGAATTAGTCGAGACATCATCGAAATTCCTTCGCGCGGGGCGCTTTTCCGCGTCGCGGTCGGCCCTGCAAAACAAGCGTTTCGCTCGAGACATCCTCGGCAAACTCTGCGGAGCAAGCGTTTCGCTCGAGACATCCTCAACACACGAAAAAGTGGCCCGCACCCTGTGATTTATCGATCGGGATTTCAAAAACAAGCGTTTCGCTCGAGACATCCTCAAAAATAATTTCGCCGGCCTCCCTCGACCTCGATATTTATCAGGGAAAAATTTCGCCGGCCTCCTTCAAGTTGGGCACCAGGGACATGTTTACATACTAAAAGAGAACCCTGGGCCTTTGCCCTTTCCGGGAAAAACCTTCCTGAAACCTTCCTCAGGGAGGTTTCAGGAGGGGCTCGTTGGAACTCCCGCACCTGTCTCCCGCTATGTATATATATATAAAGATGTATATTTATATACATACATATATGTGTATGTATATATATATATATATATGTGTGTATGTGTAGATATGTATATGTATATATGTGTATGTATATATATATATATATAAACGAACAAACAAACAAACAAGCAACCAAACAAACAAACAACACATACATAAACAAACAACAAAACACATAGCGAGATGCGGTTGGTGACAACGATGGCACGTAACAAAACTTAACTTGACGTAGCTTCCAGCGCGATGCTATGCAATGCGCATCGACCCCCCGAACAAAACGTGGAGATCGATTTCCAAATTTCCAACATGCATAACGCATCGCCATGAAAAGTCAAGTTTCCCTAAGTCGCTATCAGTAAAGATCTGAGGTGGCCAACCAAGAGCCTCTGCAAAGAGCGCTTACGCCGGAGCCTACGCCCACGCCGACGCCAGCACCAACACCAGCGCCTACGCCAGCACCAACGCCAGCGCCCACGCTGGCACCTACGCCCACGCCGACGCCAGCACCAGCGCCTACGCCCGACGCCAGCACCACGCCGGCGCCTACTACCGGCGCCAGCACCACGCCAGACCCGACGCCCGCGCCAACTCCCGCGCCGACGCCCGCGCCCACGCCCGCGCCGACACCAGCACCTACGCCAGCGCCTACGCCTGCACCAACGCCAGCGCCTACGCCAGCACCAACCCCAGCGCCTACGCCAGCACCAACGCCAGCGCCCACGCCGGCACCTACGCCCACGGCCTCCACCGGACCCCGTTTTTTATCGAGGATCCGAGATGGGGGGCGCACTTTCCTCGAGCGGGCACGCACGAAACGCACTTTTCAAAAACAAAAACAAAAAAAAAAACTGTACCTCGTTATTTACGCAGAATAATTTCGCCGGCCCTCAACAAGTCGAAACCGGGGGGTAAACCATCTAAAAGAGAACCCTGGGCTCAAGCCCTTTCCGGGAAAAACACGCGGTTCCAGCTCGGGACCACCATGTTAGATACCTACCTGGGTGGCCTGGACACGTGAAAACACTTGGTTCCAGCTCGCACGGGATGCACTTTTTCGACCAATATGTGTCCCGCACCCTGTGATTTATCGATCGGGATTTCAAAAACAAGCGTTTCGCTTGAGACGTCCTCAAACATGATCGACCCACGAACCCGGAAATGAATATAGAAATGTAACGCATGGCAACGTTTTCAAAGACACCTGATTGGGTGACGGGCAAGTGCAATGCTGATTGTATCGATCTTGATGTACCGTGCCGAGGGCTGTGCTGTGCTGCACCGTGCTGAATTGCGATGTGCCATGCCGCGGTTGTGCTCTATAGCGTCGTGGATCGAGTCTTCCTTTGCATCCGAGTCCTGACCGAACTGATCTGGATCTGAAGCTCGAGCTGCCTGAACACATAGTAGCTGCCCCAGAGCTAATTGACAGGGGGACATGCCAGGAGGACGCGCCGCGAAACGTCCCAAGGGACGCGCCAGGCGACGTGCCAAGGGACGTGTAACGCGCACATGGCTTGAGCTCGCTGGCCCTGGGCCTCTGCCATTTCCGGGAAAAGCGAACCCTGGGCCTCTGCCCATTCCGGGAACAAGACATGATCGACCCACGAACCTGGAAAGGTATGTAGAGATGTGAAGCATGGAAACGTTTTAAAGAACCTCAATTGGGCGATAGGCAGTGGCAATGCTGAAGATATCGATGGTGACGATGCTGTGCCAGCGGCTGCGTTGTGCTGCGCTGCGCTGCGCTCCCAGGGCGACGATCTCTCCAGAGCAGAAACCGATACTTTCCTGTATCGGGATATGTACTCGAGGGGCGCTTTTCGGCCCCCCCCGCCATTTCCTGAAAATCAGGCGCACTCTGCGTCCGCGCGCCCAAGGCCGCGATCCCTTGTAATTTACGCTGGATTCGCGTTCTCAAGGCCACAGCCCCTCGTAAATTACGCTGGGTTCGCGCTCGCAGTGCCGCGATCCCTCACAAATTATGCGGGATTCACGCTCCCAGGGCCGCGATCCCTCGCAAATTACGCGGGATTCACGCTCCCAGAGCCACGATCCCTCGTGAATTATACAGGTTTCGCGCACCCCTTGTAAATTACGCTGGATTCGCGCTCCCAGGGCCAAGATCCCTCGTAAATTACAACGGATTCACTTTTGCACGCGGGCGCGAACGCTGCCGTTGTCTGCTGCGAGGTGTTGCTCTTGTCCACCGCTGTTCCACACTGTATCATGCTGGAATCGGCGGGGGCCGCACCCAGGCCAGCGGCCCCGCGCGCCCCGACAAGACTGGCAATCAATAAGAGACGGACCATCTGCGGGACAGGTGATCCGACCAGAAGTTGTAGGATGTACGCAGAATGTGCGGGTGTGCTTCAGATTGCGAAGGCCCTGCTGGAGCCAAACAGTCTGCAGAAGAGGACGAGGAGAACGAGGAGAACGGAGAGGAGAAGGAAGAAGGCATGGATAATGGACGTCGTGATGTGTAGAGGAAGGAAAGCGGGGACGAGAATCATCACCAAAACCATCACCACTGTGGAGTGCACGATTTGCCCGTTTGTGGGATGCAGGTGCGCGGGATGATCCACGAAATCAAAGGACGCAAACTGCCACAACCATTAGCACTTTCCAGCCATCCGACGTCTTGAAAGAATGCCGCGCCGTGGCATATGCGCGACCAGGGCCCTCGACGCCATGCTGATATATTACACTTCGGGAAGGTGCAACTGTGCACACAGCGCCACACACGTGGCGCCAAATCAGATGTCACAATATCCGCCTACCGTGCCGTAGGCGTTCAATACGATGTCCTCAGGTCCGAGGCCTCCGGAAGCCCCCCCAAGCCCCCGGAAGCCCCCAGAGGCCTCTGGAGGCCCCCAAGGGGCCAACACAACCTCCAAAAACCTCGATCTTCAAACTTCGAGGATCGAGGATCCTCCTGGGTCCGAGCTGGCCGTGAAAGACATCATCGCCTCCGGTCCTTCCAAATCGTGCTCCCGCTGCAGAGCTGGCCTCATTCCCCTTTGCGGTCCTGGCCTCGTTCCCGCGTTTCGGTCCTTCCCAATCGTGCTCCCGCTGCAGCGCTGGCCTCGTTTCCGTCGATCCTGGCCTCATTCCCGCGCTTCGGTCCTTCCAAATCGGTCTCCCATGCATTGCGATGCTGTGTTGTGCACCGCTATGCGATGCCATGCCTTGCGCTGCAACACTCTGACATGCAGTGCTTGACGACGCAATGCCACAACATGCTATGGAGCGCTACGCTCTGCCGTGCTCTTCTGCGCCATGCTATGCCATGCTGTTCCACGCATCGCGCATGCGCCCTCCCGAGATCATTGCCTTGCTCGTTATCCGACTGCGAATAGAGAGGGGATCTAGACTCTAGGCAGTGGTAAGGGATGGGAGGGAGGGGTAGGACGTCTGATATGACGCGAGCGCACCTACCCTGCCCCTCCCACCTCTTCCCTCGCCTCTCGTCCCTCTTCCTCCCCCTCCGCCTCCCTTCTCCCGCCTCTTTCGTCCGTAGCCACTTTGGCTCAAGGCGTGGGCTTGAGCCGACGGAGACATTTCCCGTCGGCGCGTTTTGGTTGTGGCGCCCCCAGCCCGACCAGCAGCCCGCGCCCAGGGCGTCGCTCCCAGCGACCCCGACCTGCCATGGCTTCCGAGATGCCACCGGCGCCGGCCCCGCGGCTGGCCCCGAGGCCCGTGGCGGCAGCGCTCTGCCGCCTGGGCTATGCCGCCCGGCGCAGCAGGCCAATCCGGGGCGCCGATGTCGCAGTACTTGCACTTCGACTTCGAGCCGCCCTCCGACCTGCCGCGTGCGAGGCACTACATCCTGATGGTGCAGTTCAGCCTGATGTTGCTCTACGGCATGCTGCGGGTGGCGCCCCTCGGCCTCCCCCATCTGCTACTGGTGATGTTCGGCCAGACGACGGCGATGTGCTACGTCTTGCGGCAGGTGCCGATCTACATTCGCACGAGGGCGGCGCTCTTCGACCTGACGAAGACGTCGCTCATCGGCCTTCTACGAATGTTGCTCTTCGGCCACGTTCACTTGTTGTTGATGTTGCTCTTCTGCCAGTCGACCGGACGCTTCAGCCTGCTGATGGTGAGGCTTGTCGGCCACCTGCAGGCGATGCCCCTCGGCCCCCCGATGGAGTTCCTCAGCCACAACAGTCCGCTGCTGGTGATGTGCGCCCGGACGACGGCGATTCCCTACGGCATGCGGCAGGCGCTGATATTCGACCGCACGAGGGCGACGCTCTTGAGATTGTTTTTTTATTCTGGCCGATAACGCTCGTTACCCGGGGGGGGGGGGGGCGGTCGTGCCCCCCGGGTAACGGTAACGCTTGGGCTGGGCGGGGCATGGCGAGGCAGGGGCGCTCTGCGATCGCCATAGTATGCGCGCGAGCAGCACTCTCTGCCTGAGAGCACCACAGTGGCTTGCGATTCGAGTACAAGCGCAAAGCCCGCCGCGTGGTCCCGGCACCACGCCCGCGCCCGCGCGCGCGACGACGATGATCGACGAGCGACGAGCGACGAGGTCGACGACGACGACGACGACGTTTGCCGCCTGTTTCGGCCTCCGGAGGCCGTTTTCGAGCGCCGTCGACGACGACGACGACGACGACGACGACGACGACAACGTTTTTCGCCTTTTTCGGACTCCGGAGGCCGTTTTTCGGGCGCCGTCGACGACGACGACGACGACGACGACGACGACGACGACGACGACGACGGCAACGACGACGACGACGACGACGACGACGACGACGACGTTGTTTTTGTGCCTTTGTCGGACTCCGGAGGCCGTTTTTCGGGCGCCGTCGACGACGACGACGACGATTCGAGTACAAGCGCAAAGCCCGCAAGCACCAGCATCGCGCATGCGAGCGCCGCAATGGCCTGCGAGCGCCCACAGTGCGCCTGCGACCACCACACCACAGTGCGCATGCCTTCGGGCACCAGCATGTTGGAGGGGAAGACCGAGACCCCCCCCGCGTACGAGCGGTACCGTTACGGGGGGGGGGGGGGGAGAGGCCCGGGTAACGAGCGTTACCCCCCAGAGGATAAAAAAACAATCTCCTTCGACCTGACGGAAGCGCTGCTCGTCGACCAATTGCGGATGCTGATCGGCCAGTTATGCCTGCTGCTGGCGCTGTACTTCTGCCTGTCGACCGGACGCCCCAGCCTGCTGATGGCGAGGCCCTTCCACCTGTAGGCGATGCCCTTCGGCCTCCCGATGGACGGCCACAAGGCGAGAGGCCCAGGTGCCCGCCGAAGAGGACATGCCGCACGGTCCGGGGATGCGGGCCCACGCAGCGGCAACGCTCGGCGAGGCGGTGGGCCGGGCACTTGCCGCGGCGCTGCAGGACTCCCCGTGCGCCCCTCCCGCCAGGCCAGCAGAGCCAGATGAAGGCTCGCGCGGCCTCCACGGCAGTTGCCAGCCTGGCAGTGCCCGAGAGCAGGCCTGCGCAGAGCGAGGACCTGCTGCACCCAGAGCCGGCGCCGTGCCCCAGCCTCGAGGAGACGGGCGACGTCGGCTTCGACTCCAGGGATGGCGAGGCCGAGCCAAGGCCGCTGCACCCAGTGGGAGATCGCGTTCACTTGGCCGGGTTCCTCGAGGCAACGTCCTTCAACGGCGCGTCGGCCGTGATCCTGACCGTGGACCGCGTCAAGGCGTGGTACCAGGTGCGCTTGGATGACGGTTCGACTCAGTTAGTCAAGGCCGAAAACGTCCGCCCTGGGCCAGGCTCCACACAGGAGCCCACCCACGCGGGCCCCCACGCCGAGGAGGAAGACAAGGGCTTCGATTCCCTCGGCAGCGAGGCCGTGGACGGCGCCGCCGGAGTCGAGAGGGACGATCTCGGGCTCCGCAATGGCCACTGGTTCCACGTCTTCGTGACGGGCGGCGAGGCCATGACCTGGCCAGCAGGCGCCCCCCTTCCAGACTACGGCAGCGAGGAGGACGTGGAGCCCGTGCTGCACGAGGCGGGGCCCCACGAGGCCATCGGCGCTTCTGAGCCTGAGTCCACCCCCCTGCCGGCATCCGAGGCCGACGCCATGCTGGCAGTCGCCCTTCCGCCGCCGGTGCGATGTGTTGACTCATTGCTCGACGAGAGGATCGCCCGCCGCCAGCTCGGCCCATCCTTTTACGATCTGTGCCGCCTCTATAGCAGGTCGGCGCATGGCCGCATGGCAGGCGGACCTGTCCCGAAGGCGGCCAGGCCGCCCTGAAATCTTCTAACTCTGGTCGGCGCTGTGCGTTACTCGCTGCGCGTGCCGCCCGCTGCCCGCGCATGCCTGCTGGCGACTTGGCCTCGGGCGTGCCAGGCGGCCCGCATTTCTGCCTCGCAGGTGTCCCCTGCGTGGCCGCCCCGACGCAGTTGCTCGCACTGCCGTTGCCTCGCAGGTGCCCCCTCGAGGCGCTCGCTGCCGTGCCTACCGTCCAGCAGGAGTGGCGCCACAGGCCGTGCCTGCCGTCCAGCAGGAGTGCCGCCGCCGCTCGGGCTGGCCCGCCTACGCGCGGGTCAGCCTGGGCCGACCAAATCTTCGGACGGGCCTGAGAGGGGATCGGGCCTTCCATACCCTCAACCTGGCTACAGGCCAGGTTCGAGCCAGCCCACTATAAGGGCCACTGCACGTCGTCATCGACAAGACGCAGAGTTCCACCACCACCACCGCCTCTTTCATCCTCCTCCTCCTGCCTCATCCCTCCTGCCTCATCCATCCTCCTCCTCCTCCTCCTCCTCCTCCTCCTCATCATCCTCATCATCATCATCATCATCATCATCATCATCATCATCATCATCATCATCATCATCATCATCATCATCATCATCATCATCATCAATCATCATCATCATCATCATCATCATCATCATCATCATCATCATCATCATCATCATCATCATCATCATCATCATCACCATCATCATCCATCATCATCATCATCATCATCATCATCATCATCATCATCATCATCATCATCATCATCATCATCATCATCATCATCATCATCATCATCATCATCATCATTATCATCCCCCCCTCCCGTTTCCCTCCTGCCTCATCCCTCCTGCCTCATCCCTCCTGCCCCATCCCTCCTGCCTCATCCTCCTCCTCATCCCTCCTGCCTCATCCCTCCTGAATCATCCCTCCTCCTCCTCCTCCTCCTCCTCCTCCTCCTCCTCCTCCTCCTCCTCCACAGAATACGGTCCCCCCCCCTCCGTTTCAAGGTGTGTATAGTCCACGCTTGGCCCAAACAACGAAAACGTTGTGACATCGGAGCGCCAGGCGCCCTGTGTTGGTGGTGCCCGTTCCGGATGTGTATAATGTACGCGTGACGCCATGAAAAGGATGATTTTGTGACAGCGGAGCGCCGGGCGCCCTGTGTCGGCGGTGTGCGTTCAGGGTGTGTACTATCTAGACTTGGTACCAAGAAAGGGAAGATTTTGTGACAGCGGAGCGCCGGGCGCCCGGTGTTGGTGGTGTGCGTTCAGGGTGTGTATAGTCTACGCTTGGCACAAACAAACGAAGATTTTGTGACACGGAACGCCGGGCGCCCTGTCTTGGTGGTGTGTTCTGGGTGTGTATTATCTAGACTTGGCACCAAGAAAGCCTTTCTTTTGTGGCATCGGGCCGCAGGGCTCCATGTGTTGGTGGTATGCGTTCAGGATGTGTATAATTCACGCTTGGCACCAAGAGGCCCCAATTTTGGTGACATCGGA